ATCCGTATATCGCAAATCAACGTGGACAGGTCAGGACACACATTTTTGCAGCTTTGTTCCCCCAGCTTCAAACAGAATCTTGTGCAGAGTGTATATGATGAAACAATCAGAATCCATTCAGCAAACACTGGCGTAGGTAGTGGAAGTTCTGAAACGTTTGTATGAAGAGAAAAATAGCCACCGAGAAAGGTTTCTAACGAGACACCTCACACCGAAACATCCCAAAGAAGCAACACAAGAGGCGAAACCCAGATAAGTTTGCCTGTCTCTCGTTCAAAGACGGTGTGGCAGTGAGACTACAAACGGCCCTCACTAGAAAACTTTGTGTCGCGTGCTTAGATGCGGTCTTGATCTGCTATTGGACAAGATCTAGAAGACATTCCCCTGTCAGACCAGCAATATGCCTATCATTTTGTCGGTTAATGTGAAGACACCACACATAACGAGGTAATTGTGAGAGTCTACATGTAGAGATATATGCTCCGTAGTGCAGACGGGACGGTGAAACCTTAACAGTCCTGTTTTAGTGCACCACTTTGATACCGGACGCAGAATCGACTTGCGACTGCTTTCAAACTACTCTGTAAATTGAAAATTGGGATATAGAGTTTTCAGAGAGTAAGCTTATTTTTATTGCAGAAACAAGCGCTTTTTGGATCCAGGCATTGTATACAAGAACGTTCTGTACAGATTTGAGTCCCACTGAGTTGGACATTCATTTATCAGATTCATGTGACTCATCAAATGCACNTTGCTACCAATGTCAACCTGCTCACTGCCACAACAGCAACCAATTCGTCCAAAACTAACTTTTTAGTATCCATGCCAAGGAGAAGACTGAACAAATCCTTACGACTACGGTTATATGAATAAACTCTATCAGAGTTCGGCAATTCATGAGCTGTCCTTGGATTTCGATCGGCCATTTCATACTACTTAGGCATAACTAGGTCGTGTACGAATATCCGGAATAATTTATACTCAAATCTTCCACCTACTGGTTGAAACACATAAACAGCTGAGCTGACGTAACCTTCTTGATATCTCTTCGTCGGAACCGAACACATACATAGGATGAGGAATGTCGACAGCAAACGTAAAGCTGGACAAAATCAATAATTGTTACTGATTGTCGGGGTTGATAAAGCAGATGTGCATTTCATGAGCCACATGAATCCGATAAATGAGTGTTCAACTCAACGAGCCTCAGTTGCCGTACAGAACGTTTTGTATACAAAGTCTGGACCCAAAAATGCGAATACCAATTGGCACTCTAGTCCTTCCGAATCTACCTCCATTCTGGATAGTTACCATGTAGCCCCTTCCAACATGCCTCCTGCATGCTAATTTGCATAGGAAAATCAGTCACCCTGTCTTGACGTGGATAGATGAATACAACGATCCGTATATCGCAAACCAACGTGGACAGGTCAGGACACACATTTTTGCAGCTTTGTTCCCCCAACTTCAAACAGAATCTTGTGCAGAGTGTATATGATGAAACAATCAGAATCCATTCAGCAAACACTGGCGTAGGTAGTGGAAGTTCTGAAACGTTTGTATGAAGAGAAAAATGACCACCGAGAAAGGTTTCTAACGAGACACCTCACACTGAAACATCCCAAAGAAGCGACACAAGAGGCGAAACTCAGATAAGTTTGCCTCTGTCTCCTGTTCAAAGTCTGTGTGGCAGTGAGACTACAAACGATCCTCACTAGAGCACTTTGTGTCGCGCGCTTAGACGCGGTCTTGATCTGCTGTTGGACAAGATCTGAAAGACATTCCCCTGTCAGACCAGCAATATGCCTATCATTTTGTCGCTTAATGTGAACACACCACACACAACGAGGTAATTGTGAGAGTCCACATGTAGAGATATATGCTCCGTAGTGCAGACGGGACGGTGAAACCTTAACAGTCCTGTTTTAGTGCACCACTTTGATACCGGACGCAGAATCGACTTGCGACTGCTTTCAAACTACTCTGTAAATTGAAAATTGGGATATAGAGTTTTCAGAGAGTAAGCTTATTTTTATTGCAGAAACAAGCGGTATTCATATTTTTGGATCCAGGCATTGTATACAAGAACGTTCTGTACAGATTTGAGTCCCACTGAGTTGGACATTCATTTATCAGATTCATGTGACTCATCAAATGCACATCAGCGTTATCAGCTCCGACCATCAGTAATATTGATTTTGCTGTTTTACGCTCACTCAATCTTCACTGATCGACTTCGTTCGTCCTGCCAACATGTTTAAACCAGATTATGATATTCATAATTGACAATTAGAGTATTTTAGACAGTAAGATGAAGACACTGATTGGATGCCGCCATCGTGGTGTCCGACGACGGGCCTCTTCGCAACTAATCGTTCAAAAAACGTTGAAGACACTGATTTCCATGCTGATTTTAAAGGTTTTAATAAGTGGGTAGAGTTTTGAGGCTGTATAGTTGTTAATATTACGTGTTTGAGTATACTCTGAGTCATCTTGGTTGAATTACAGTGTAAATTAGGCCACCTTATGTTCGATTATTAGTAACGGTGAAATCTTAGTGGGTTAGATGGAAATTAACGATTTGCCCAGCTTTTTCGCTGTCCGACGAACTTAACGGGCAGCCCAAACCTAGATCTTCACAGGTGGACTCAGAGAGGAGACTGCACTAAACAAAGGCAAGGATACTGTCAGGGGAATCTCATCATCATCGACAGTATGACATCAGTGTTCAACNCCACCTACTGGTTGAAACACATAAACAGCTGAGCTGACGTAACCTTCTTGATATCTCTTCGTCGGAACCGAACACATACATAGGATGAGGAATGTCGACAGCAAACGTAAAGCTGGACAAAATCAATAATTGTTACTGATTGTCGGGGTTGATAAAGCAGATGTGCATTTCATGAGCCACATGAATCCGATAAGTGAGTGTTCAACCCAGCGAGACTCCATGACCGTACAGAGCGTTTTGTATACAAACTCTAGACCCAAAAATATGAATACCAATTAGCATGGTAGTCCTTCCGAATCTACCTCCATTCTGGATAGTTTCCATGTAACCACTTCCAACATGCCTTCTGCATGCCAATTTGCATAGGAAAATCAGTCACCCTGTCTTGACGTGGATGGATGAATACAACGATCCGTATATCGCAAACCAACGTGGACAGGTCAGGACACACATTTTTGCAGCTTTGTTCCCCCAACTTCAAACAGAATCTTGTGCAGAGTGTATATGATGAAAC